AATCCTGAAGTCAAATGTAATACCTTGCAAGACCTTTTTTAAGACCCTTTCCATACATTTTAAGACCTCATCGCCACTTGGAGTTTTAACCGGTTACATTGGCGACACACTTTACCTCACATTGACTATATACAGTATTGATTGTCCTTCCTCCTTATCTTCCAACCATTTGGACGCAGACTTGCATTTCCCCGTAACGATGTTGTTTAACAACCGGCGTAAACGGAGCTTCGCGCGCTATCAAGCAGTGAGCGTGCGATGTGCTGTTCAGATGACGTCAAACCCAACGGGATGCCATAAATAAACTACACAGAATCACACTACACACCTACGCAATGATTACATTCAGGCACACTGTAGAATACAACCTCTTTGGACAATTTATATACTTATTGAAAACAAGCTACAACATGTAATACCTTGGAAAATGCCCTTTAATACTTTTTAATAGCCTTCATTTTCGCTAAATTGATTTATCAACTTTTAATACTTTTTAAGACCCCGCGGACTTTACTTTTTTATTTTTTAAGAGCTTATTGAATGGAAACGTTTCAAACTTGTATCCACCCATTACAAACAATACATTGATATATACAGCATGCAGAGTGGAAGCGAGGCCTACCTGTTGAGGATATCATGGGATTTGGTCTGCAGCAGGATGCTCAGGTACATACACCTACTGACCATCTTAGTAGTAGCTTTCATCAGGCTGCATGAAAAGAAGCATGTGTTAGGATATCGTGAGTAGAAGACGATTCAAAAGAGAATGTTTCACAGTAAAGTCACAGCAATGTGTCAGAGCTACTTCCTGTTGCTCACCTGTACACCTTGGGGACTCCCTCCAGGCTGCGGAGCTCTCCATCCTTCCCCAGCAGAGACTCCACTCCCTTCAGGATCTCCCTGGGGTCCACGGGTCCCCCTGCCATATCTGAAAAACACATATCAAATTGTTAATACACATGGCAACACGGCATGGGTGTATTATAGTTCTAGTATGAACAGCAAATATTTGGAAGGTATAGACGGGCTGTTTCTAGAAGGGACTTGTTGCCTGCCAAATGGAAAGGGGAGCTACACGTCACAAAAACACACCCAGCCTATCGTTAGGATTTGAGACTTTGCTCCAAAAAAGTTTCCAACAAGGAACTGTCACACTAGACAGACAACAATCTGACAGGGCTCAGATTCCCCTCACCACTGAGACTGAATCAGCTCAATCCAACACCAGCAACCTGGGCTTATCAAAGTCACTCCAACAACATGGTCCAAAGAACTGATGCTCTACACTCAAACCAGGAGAGAACAACTGGAGCAGGCCGACATGTCTCACCCTGACAGACAATCTGACCCACTATCTGATGAATCATTTGAACATCAGGCCAGAAGAAATAAGCATGGGTAGTTTGGTGACATGGCCACATACATATTACTATTCACAGGCAGCAGCGTTTCCCTCCTGCTACAGCTCCATGTTGCTCCTGCAGCCGGACCTCCACAGAGCAGCTGCTGCCCCGGACTCCACCCGCTTGGAGCAGTTCACCAGACGAGCAGAGTCCCCTCTCTGGGACTTGCCGGACTGACATGTAGAGGAGACTGATCTCATTTAAGAGTGATGCAACACAGTTTATTCCAGTTCAGACTCTTTAAGAGGCAGCAGCGACCACAGAACACAACTGCATGTTACTGACATACAAAATGTTACACATTCACTGCAAATCCACTTGTTTTATTTAACTTATCACTAAATGGAACATTGATTCCCTAATCATAAAGTAAATTAATACAATGTATGAATAGCTTTAACTATGATTTACTACTACATATATTGAATCAATGTTTCAGACACAAAAAAGACAAAAAAGTTGAAATGTCAAAGTTTGGTTAGAATAAAAATAGATATGACTTAGTGAAAGAAATGTTACCGGTAATGATTGATCACATTTTTAATACCACACTTCTATCACAATCATTCACATTTGTGCAAAACTGCAAGTCAAACAAAAACAATGGGAACAGAAACGTCTTCAGTGTAAAACCCTCATGAGAAATCAGATGAAATGACGAAAACAATTAAAAAATAATTCAGATTATACAACCCAAAACATTTAAAATGGGATAAAGGTAACTGTATGAATAATGAAATGCTTTTAAACTGTCAAATGGGTTTTTTATATCCTCAGATATGTTTAAGGACATCACTGGCAGCAGGACACTATTGGCCCCCTACAGGACACCTTATGATCACACTGACACTGAACTGACTGTGGACTTACACAATAGAGAAATGCATTACAAATTAATAGAATGGTAAGTGCAATATCACATGACAAGAGTGACAAATAGTCACACGGTAATCTGACGGATAACAAACTAATGAAGAAAAGGTGTTGGATGTTAATTAATTCAATCAGTCTACTTTTTATCTTTAAAAAGTCCAAAGTGACCCAAATAGACAGCCAACAAAGGGTTAATTTGTCTTTATGTATATCTTCAATTAAAATGATTAAACAAGTATCCTAACAAAAGGGGTCTTATTAAATATAATCAAACTGCTTCATGAGTTAATTGCTCTTGTCATATAAAGCATGCACATATTTTCCGCATGTTTTATGCGTTTTCTGATGAAACCGTCACCCTGCCACAACACGTATAAAGAACCTGCATTTCTGACGGAGTTCAATTCATTGGAAATGATGTGAGGAATCAGTTAGGTCTTACCCGTGTAACTGTAGTAGAAGTTTTATATAGTCTCAGACCTCCAAAAAACTGCAAATAACCCAATTCCTGCAAATATCACAGTTGTTACACATATACACAACATCTGTTTTAAGCATGGCCCTGGTTCAGTGGGGGAAAGAACATTATTTGTGTCCTACTGGGGTGTTTAGATATATCACTGGTACATTATTGTAAACAAACTACTCTTCTAGATAGAAAAAAAAGATTTGCTGTATTTTCGTTATAGCTGAGCAACAACAGACTAAACTATGACTAAGGAACACTCATGATATAGACACTGAATGAATCAAATAACAATATTAGACGCCCTTGGTTATATAAGGGCAGTTCAAGCAGCCTATAAAAGGCACGCGCTTAGGCTGTCATGTGTCATAGCTTAAACAGGCCTGCTCCTGTCAGAAGGGGAGGGGCGGCTATCACAGCCTCCCTCCGTTAACCACTTCGACGACAACCCAATGTCGACACAAGCAACAATGGCTCTCCCTATGTCTGGCAAAACCCGTGCTGGTGTGAAGGAAAACAAGTCGGCGAGGACCAGATATTTACTGAACCAACCAATGCGACAAAAAGCTGCATGTACTTTCTCTGCATTTCGGTTTTGTTAAAAAATAACTCCCAAATGTTGCTCCAAGAACACCGCCAGCCCCCGGAGCTGTCCGAAGAAAAGCAAACTACAACCAATCCGCCATGTTTGACAATTCCGACTGTTTGTGCTTCGAAAGACCACTTCGCTAGTCATCCTGCAATCTTTATCCACAGATTGCCGAGTCCCTGTGCTTTAGTTATCGACATGTCAACACACAGTGCTTCATAGAATATGTCCACAATCCTCAAGCTAACGCAATCTTTATGTATAGATTGTTGTAGGTATTCGTTCCGTGGAGCAGCCCCTACTAAACAAACCTGGCAAGCAAAAAGTCCGACTTCATTAAGCAGTAATTAAATGGCTATGCCTACGGCAATCTTTATGAGTAGATTGCTTATGGTTATTTTATTAATAGACTGACAATTTAGTTTTTGTACAACCCGTCCATTCCGTCTCACACACAAAGAAACGGAGCCTGGTGCCTCCATCCACTTTCCTGTGTGAGCTCATACTATAACATTGTCTATATTCAAATTGTTTGCCAAAAACAAGCTAACTTACGGTACCGGCTAACCAGCTACCGCTAAGTAATTTGTCGATTTTTTAACCTAAATGTATCTCGATTCAATTTAACTTTAAAATCAACTTACTATTGACACTATAGATCCTCAGCGTTTCGGGTGTATTAGAGTGTGCTTTTCAGGCACTTATATCTCTTATTTCATAAGTTTATATCGTCAACCTTCATGGTTTTAATATCAACTGAAATACTTCTTATGGGTGGGGCTGTTATAGTTAAAGGCTAGCCTTTCCTTCAGGAACAAACTTGAGGCAAAAATAGTAATCAAATGTCCAATACTTGAAGAAAAAATATGAATTTGAGTAGAGTTGTTCAAAGTCCTCGACGGATCAGTCTTCGCCAAAGCAAATTCATACCTGCAAAACACACAAAGAAACACACATTCAATGTCGACTCTTTCGACAAATTTCATCGTCCTCCGTCTTTATCAAAGTCCTCTGTTGGTTGTTTAAAACATTCAATAAAAAAATCGCATTTTAGACGGAGAAAATGTTATAAATAAGTCTTGCTGTCTTTCTGACTTCACTTACCTCTGAACAAATCCAGGAATGAGCCCGGGCGGGAGGGACTTGGGTTTTATACCAAGTGACGTTTTTTACGTCACGAACAACGTTTTCCTTTGTATCGCGCTGAAACAAAATGGTGGATAACCGTCCTTCACTGACCTGCCATGGGCACAATGGCGTATCACACGTGATGGATACTAATGTTGTGATTACCTCCACAGATTCACCTTCAAAGTGTTGCATATTTGTATAATTTCGTAGATACTTAAGACCCTTAACGAATTTTGTTGATTAAGCTGGATTTTGGTTATCATATTGTATATATATTTAGTTCATTATATTTCTTCAAAATGGCGACTGTCTGTCTGTCTGTCTGTCGCTGTCGGGGTTGGGGGTTGATGCTTGATACTCACATGCGTCACTCATAATGTTAATAATATTGTCAATTCCCAACAGAGAGTACAATTAAAAATGACAGAATGTGGATGTACACACATCCAGATACTTATTAATAATATACGTAGGAATCATACCATTTTAATATGAAATGTTACACTTTAAAATACTACAAAATAGCTGACCTTTCACCTTTCACCTACAACCCAGAACTGTGACAGAAAAAAAATGGCTGCCTCCTTAACAAGCATCGCGAAGGTTCTGTGCCGTCTTTCGCCTTCAATTTTACAACCATTACGGCAGTATCAGGTATTTGAATCTACTGTACAGATGATATACAGATCATCCGATTCATGTACATATGTCTACGCTGTTTGTAATAAGGTTTACATATGTTAAAGGTTTGTCGCACAGTGAGCTAACGTACCATGTAATCCAATGTAGCGCTACTGTAAATGACAATTGCGTTTATTTAGTTTGATAAGATTTCCTCAACAATACCCTCTCTGTAAAACCAAAGACATGTTGCACCTTGCCAAATAGCATGTATTGCATTGAAAACAAGAGTATTACTGTCAAAGCAGCTTAATGTCAGGCAAGATAGCCATGTGTAGGTCGCGTTGACAGGTTATTTAATATGCATTTAGCTAGGGTGTTCGAAAGGACAGCCGAATTTGTCCAATAGTTCTTTATACCATGTGTTTATGTTTGGTTTGCACTCTTATGCACTGCCACCAACACTTTCCTTTTGAATCAGAATCGAGTTTATTGCCCGGTACGTTTACAAGGAATTTGCTTTGGTGTTTGTTGGTGCAAACATAAACAACATAAGGAAATAAGTTGTAAGAGGAGGTCAAAAACATAACTGTTGTACAAAGAAAATAATACAAAAACACTATATAACATTTTAGAAATGAGTAAAGTATTTACACAAAATATAAATATACAAAAGATACTAAGAAACGTATGACAATATGATACATATATCAGATAGATAGATACTTTATTTATGAAATGATTGTGTCACAGCAGCAAATGGACAGTCAATCTACAAAATTAACAACATTAATTAAAAATACAATAAAATAAAGATTAATATGAACAATTTAAAATGTAAAAAACAATATAAACATATCCTCAGTAACAAAATAATATTCAGAGGAGTATCTAAACAATATACAGATTAAAATAGAATACTCTCTAATATATCAATCTACAGAACATATAAACATAGTGCACTTTGTATTCTGTGTATTCGCTGTGTATTTTGTAAATTGTGTCATTTCTAGTTTTTGATCATGCATTATTTTCATGCAGGCTTCTTGATTGATATTAAGCTATCTTTGGCTCTTTACTTGCTGTAACAAATGTACATTTCGCATCTGTTGAACGAATAAAGGTATTTTGATTCTGATTCTATATACGTAAAAAAAAAATGGGAACAGTAGCTTGACATTTTAATTAAAATATATCCTGAGGTAGTGCAAGTAGGCTGCAATATGCAAGTACAGTATGTGAACAATGTTCATGCTTATAGAGAGGAAGAACCTGAACACACTATGAAGCAGTGAGTTCTGGATAGGGTCTCTAAATGGATTATGTTTGTCTTGATTTAAATACATTGGCAGTCAGTGGCTTCATGCATCCATAACCATTTAGATGAAGCTCTTAGGGTTGTTGTGATGATGACGATGCTCAGCTGCTTTTCTCTTGCTTTCAGTCCTGTCTGCAGAGGCTTCCTGTCAGATCATACGGAGCCCTCTCTCCATGTGCACCCCCCAGTCACTTTTACTGCCAGGCAGCATCTCTCCAGAATGATGCTGCTGCTCAGGTTGAGACCCTGCACCGCTACAAGGACAGACCCTGGGACTATCTGGAGAGTGAAGGTACTTAAAAGCAGTCTGTCACATCCTTTTTATTCATTGTTTATTATTATTTTAGTGTTTATTTAGTACAGTCCAGAGACACAAACAAGGACACAACAACAGTAAAGGGGAGAGGACATTCCCATCTCACCACAAATAAATTAATCAGAATCAGTGTTATTACTGTTCTTTTATTATTACCTATCACAGCTCTCCACTTTCAATATAGTATTTGTCTTTTGTTGAAAAGCTAATTCCTTGTATGTGTAAACCTATTACACATACAAGGAATTAGCTTTTAAAAAAAAAAAAATAGAATAAAGAAAAGCCAGAAGAAACCAGTCCATAGGATCGCTTCAGTTCTTCATATAACTAGGTTTACAGCTCAATACATTCCAAATTGTGTTCCATTTCATCTTGTGCTTTGCCACCTTTTGATTTTTTGTGGCAATCATTTTTCCCAAAAGAAATTGCCTTTGCACTCTATTTTTCAAACGCCTTAAAATCAGATCACTCCTAAATTGCATTTTTTTTAAGTAAGTATTTTACCCAGAAGAATAATTGTATTTATTATCTCTGGACTATATTCATCCGGAAACCCAAATAAAATATTGAAAGGACCAATCCAAATGATCCAGAGTCCCAAAATGTATCAAAATCAGCCCAGTGAGAGTCCAAATATGAACACTTTCCGGTTACAACTGACATGTTTAATGTCAAAGCAAATGAAATGGATTCAGCATTCTCGATAACCCCCAAAACCCCTCCAAAATTGTCAGAATTGGCCGAGATATGTTTTGAACTATTGTCTGGGCAGTTTCTATGTGCTGGGGACCCCTACTATACATTTCTAACATAACACTTTGGGGTACTCAACATTTCCGGGTTCACAACAGGACTCTATGAGCTGGCAAACAGACTAATACCTGTGCTTGCTGTTACAATATTATTTTCCCCATGACAGAGTACATTGAGAGGTATGGAACCAATCCAGTGTGGGCCGACTACAGGAGGAACCACAAAGGGGGAATCCCACCACAGAAGACACGCAAGACCTGCATTGTAATATGATAATCCGTCTTTCATTAGGTCTGAGCATCACATGTGTAAATCACCCTAACACTGCTTCTGTTTGTGTAGAGAGGAGACAAGGTATCTGGAAACCCGTGTCCAGTGTGTCGGGATTCAAACATCGTGGTCCACCATCAGGTGGGTCAGCATCTCCTTACAGCACCATAAACAAAGATACACTGGGTTCTATTATACATCCCTCACCACACCTAAGAGTCTGCCTACACAACTACATGCTGTTTACCTGATCTGTTTGCATGGAAATGTAATTGTTGAAATATTGAGCACTTTTTAGATACAAAAGGTAACACAAAGTGCTAAATACATATCAATAAATGTACTATGTATAACAACCTTATTATACCTTATGAGTTTATTCTAATCTCATGCCTCTGGCTGCATTGTTCTCTCAAATGAACTGGCACATTTCCCTTCAAAATGAAGAAAGGAAATAAGCAAGAAAGTGAAACATTTTACATCTTGGTTTGTGCTTTTGTAAAGTTTGTTCAGTATTTAAAAAAATGAACTAGTACTGCAACCAGTGATAGTTAATGTTATTGAACAACCTTCTCAATATTTTCTTGACTATTTTAGAAAATTCTGAAAAATCCAAAAGCATGTCTTATGTTGATTTATCTGACAGTCAAACATCAATACAAATGTATTTTTATTTATTTAAATGCAGCGTATATAATGTACATTTGGTGGAGATACTTTGTGTTGAGATCCCAGGGACACTGATATTACAATGAATTAGCTTTATTTAGCTGTCCTCTCTTACAGAATGTGAAGCTGCTGCAGCAGTTCATCAGTCCCCAGACGGGGATGCTGTACGATGCCACTCGCACTGGTGAGTCCACAGTGAGTGTGTGTTGCTGCTGAATCCTGTCTACTCTTCCAGACTGCTCATGTTGTGTTTGTGGACTGTCTGCAGGTGTGTGTATGAAACAGCAGAAGAAGCTAAATCAGGCAATCGGCACGGCGAGAGATCACGGTACGTACCACAAGACCCCTCAGCCCCAGGGTCCTTTGTAAATACGTCCTATTCTGTTTTTTTTCCTCTTCATTGTATTGTGTCTTTAAAGGTTTCTGTGCATGTGAATGGTCTGCAAAGGCTAAAATCTCAAAGTTCCCTCCAGAAGGAGTTTCTCTCCCACACTTGTTTGTGTGCAAATAACCTCTAAAAGGTGACATAGTAAATAATTTAAGGTTTTTGTCCAATCTTGTGCTTCTGTAAGTTTCTTCAGTGTTTAAAAACGAATGATTAACAATACTGCAACCAGCGATTGTTATAGTTATTATTTTGTTCAATTTTCTTGATAACTGTCAAAGAATTGTGAAAAATCAACTTTTCATATTTTGAATTGCACATCTAGGGCTGCATCATTTTGAAAAAAGACCTAATTGCAACTATATTGACTGATGTTAAAGGGGGAAAAGAGTGGTTTTTTTAAAAGAGTATCTTTACCAAACAAGGATTTTTCATCAAGTCTGTTGAAAAAAGATTGTATGCTCGGCTCCACAATACTTAATTTAGATATTTCACATATTTTGCCATTACCAATATCGTGCTTACTGTGGCTTGATATTTGACTAGTCTATATTGCAATTTGAATGACTTTTGCTGCCCTGGGGCCATCCATGTTGAGATGGAAAGTATGCTTTGTAATTCAGATTTAGCAGGATTTTCAGAGTGTTTGTTTTTAAGCCAATATAGATATTGTAATTAAAGGTGTCTCCTGAAACCCGGGAGCACTTAGTCCTCACACATTCAGAGAGGAGAAACCTGTTGGAGCACTCACTCATGAACGTCTTCCAGCTGGTTAGGCGACTTAAGATACAGCTTTATGTGTTGAAGGGTTTTCAAAACTGAGATGTTTTTGTAAATAACAGAAGCCGGCACTCAACACTGCTCTCTCTTTCAGGCCTACTGCCCTTTCAGATTCCATATGTGGAGTTTTCAGGAGAGGACTACTCCAACTCCCATGATGCCGTGGGGTGCACACCACCTCCCCCGTCCCTAACCTCTGGAGACACCTGGTATAAATGGTACAGTGAAATAACACCTGATGAGCAGGAAGTGGCCAAAGTGAAGAAGACCTACAAGGCTTATTTGAAGTGACTGTTGAGTGGATGTTCGTCTGTTGGACCATGTACACCAAAATAAAAATTGCACAATGAAAAATGTTTTTATTTTATTGTTTTCCTTTAGTAGATCTTGACCTCCCTTGATATTTATAGAAATGTACACTCCACCACCATGCCTTAAAGATGTGACAGTCCAGTATAAAGGGGATAGATAGGTTTTATTATGCGTGCCGCTCTGAGGACATGCTCCACATGAAGTGTATTGAGGATGTGACGAGGGTCTCATGGGTTGACCTTGTTGACCATGGTCTCTCCCAGAGACTCCAGCACCTCCCTCTTGTAGTCGTCAAAGTCTCCATCGATCTGGACGACGGAGCGGTCCTCCACCACCCACATGGTGCACTGAGTCTCTGTGATGAGCCGGGCGTCGTGGCTCACGATGATCACAGCTGCAGGGGGGGGAGAAATCTGTTAGTACTGAAGGAAAGACGATGTTTTAAAGATCTTTTGAGCATTTTATTTCAGTCTGTTCGCATTGTCAAGCTTTTAAACAACTTCAATTGAGGACATACTAAGTCAAGTTAACCAAATCCTTCCAATCAGAACTTCCCCAAAGTCTCCTTTAGTTCAGCTCTGCAGCTGCTGAGTGAATGTCTTTGGTTTGGAGTCAACTTTCACTTTCGGTTATTGTTGGTCATTTATACTTTTCAAACAAAACATTGCCTTGCTGTTGCACATTCAACCACACACTGTAAAACACCAGCTCCCCTTTGAACTCAACAGGAACCAACCAGTGCCCAGTATGACAAACCCAGGATGTTATTGTGTTACCTGGCTTAATAAACATTAAACGGTGCTACAACGCTGGTTATAAACTCAGTAAGTTAACCCAAGATTTCTCAGCCTTGCTGAGAGTGGTTCACATGAAAGAGGCGGGGTTTGCAGAATATGACCAATCATAGCCCTGACAGCAGAGCATCACAAATAAAGAGTAAACTTTAATATTAGACAAGTTAGGAGAAGTTAAACGTTACATATCCATGAGCTAAACACATAATCCTGGATAAAAGCAAGAAAGAACAGAGGAAGGGAAGCTGGGGGAAAAAGGTGATTAGGACTATAAGATATTAAAGTTAAAATCATAACTTTCAAATGTAATAATAGTCAGATCCATCTCTAGATGATCAGTCAGTCCAATTATTAAAAAAATTCACAGTCTGCAATTTACTGCCAGTTGTCCATCCTGCATTTGGCAGTATCAAATGGTTTGTTTTGAGCCTGGAATATGATTTAATTGCCTTAAACTTCTTATTTGAGTAATATTATTCGACAACCCGTGCACTGAGCATTGATTGGTCAGCAGGACATGAGAGCTGTTATCTGGAACATAACTGGAGCAGGTTATGTGTGCAGCATAAATTAGGATGGTAATCTCCCGAAAAGAAGTGAACCGCCATCGTAGGACTAAAACCTGCGTTAACCTGAAGTTCCCTCAATCACCTTAAACCCTCCTCAGTACAGACCACTGCTGCCTGCTGGGCCTTAAGGTAGAGGGCTCTGGACCTACATCCAGAGAACTACTATTTCCATCTTGTACATGCCACACCATTTAACTGGTTTCTCCACTAATAACCAGTATGGTCACACGCGTCTTACAGAACATGCTTCTCACCTCCTTTATATTCATTGATGGCCTCTGATAAGGCATCGATGGACTCAATATCCAAGTTGTTGGTAGGTTCATCCTAGAAGAGAAATGAGGTCAGTCAGTCGTAGAATTCATCCAGGTATTCTGTCGGTTCAGCGTGGATATAAGTCTGACAGGCACGTACCAGGATGAGGACATCAGGCTGCCGACAGGACAGCTCAGCAAACACTACTCTGGCCTTCTGACCTCCTGCGGAGACACACCCAGACACAATGTTAGAAGATATTTACATCCTGTCCGCTGACATGTTGTCTGACGGTCCATGTTCATACCGGACAGTTTGGAGATCTGGATGGTGTGGGCGTGGCTCTCCAGGCCGAAGCGTCCCAGGCACTTCCTGCCGTCCTGGTAGGGGAGGTTGAAGTTTCTCATCAGGTACTCTGTGGCCGTCTCCTCCATGTTCAACTGATCAGCGTACTGCTGGTTGAAGAAGCCCACTTTCTGCAGGAGACCAGAGACCCCGGTTACAACTCTTCATCAACTGTTCAATAGGACATAAACTAGGTTCCAGAAAAACACTTTTAATTAATTCTGTTTTTCCATAGTGTTGTTTTTATTTATTTTAAATATCTTGTTCTAAAATTGCTGTGTAGTCTGACATAAAGAAATGGTTCAAGAGAGTAAAATATATAAATTGATTTATATTATTTAATGGGCAACCATTTATTTTCTTGCTGTTTTTGTTTATAGTAAATGTATTAATTAGTGTAATTATTTTAGTTAAAGGGCCCATGTCATGCTTTTCCGGTTATTACCCGTCCCCTTGTGTGTTATGTAGCTTTTTCTGCATGTAAACGGTCTGCAGAGTCACAAACCCTCAAAGTACACCCTGGAGAGAGTAAAACTCTAACACAGAGAAGACCTGTCTATGCTGCCCAAGAACGCGGGGGGGGCAGGAGCTCCAACAAGCCGTGTAGGACAGAGAGTGAATACACATACTATACAGAGATGCTGTATGAGAAACCAATGTGAGTTTGGAACATTGCACAATGTAAATCTATTCTAGTAGACCTCAACAATGGAATTATGATCAGTAGAAATGGCCATGACATGGGACCTTTAAAATAATTCTTTATGCTTTTATTTTGAAGGTGGTTTTGGGCGGTGGTGGGATTGGCACACCAGAATGAACAGATACCAGGGTTAGCACGAGGAGAGCCACAGGAAAGGCTGCAGGGCGAGGTTAATACGCCATTATATATATTATTATATTGGATCAATCGGAAATAAATGCTAAAAGAATATTTTTGCCTGGACTTCTCATTTCTCCTGCGTAGGATCTGCTTACTGGTGCCCCAGCGGCAGTTTAATTTTGAGTTACGTTTAATTTCTTTATGATTCGTCACTGAACACTTCAATTTACGGCAAGTATTAAGCATCCTTGATTTTTTTTAAATGTCAAAGTGTACATACAATGGGGAACAGAGCCTGTGTTATCCATTACTGCTTCAGTTAGCAGGCTGCAAATATGGGAGACTTTGTTTGCCTTTCGGAATATTGTAATCTTTTGCAAGTTCATTATACTTCCACATGTTGTTCAGCAGGGTGATCTCCACTTAATAACACCACTTTTATAATTGTAGCGTAAATGAACAGTAAATGACTAACGTGAGGCTATAAAAGAACCACTACGGTTGCATGGCTGCGCATCACCACCGCTAAGCTAAAGACGGCTAATGTTTATTTGATTTATTTCATTCAAAAATGGAGAGATCAATTTCCCCAAGGGATGGATAGAGAATTACGATGCAATGATAAAAACATTATGAAAACCAATGCTAGAACAGTAAATATTTCTGTTCACTTTCTGTCAGAGTAGTCAGTCTGCACAATGAGAGAGGGTCAGAGCAGAGGACGCATCAGGCTGGGGAGTAATGGGTTGCATGTAAAGGATCATGTAATAAGGATACATTCTAACTGTATTTCCTTACTGTTGGGGAATCATTTGCCCTGCATGTCCTCCTTCGCCCTCTGACGCAGATGACCAACCCTGATCAGCCGTTATCTCCCTTAAGGAGAGGCTGCCCTAGCATATTGTTGTTGTTACCAGTTTGTGACCGGGCAACTCTCGGTCAGAGATAGTTATTGTTGTGGGACACCTGGAACACATCCTTCTCGGGGTGTAGATGACCCCGAGCCATAAGCGACAACAAATGTGATTCAGTGTCCTCAGCTGTTTAGTCTATCTATTGAAGAATGAACTCTGAACTAGTTCAAACCCGGAGCTACAGGAGGGCTCTTCAGAATTGATTGTGGCATCTCTAACCTGTGGTCAACTCGTGGCCTGTGACATGTCGTGTGAATTCTCCGGCCGAAGCTCCAAACAAACCGTCAGTGTTTGCCATCAAAGCTCCAGCTCCCATCGTGTCTCTCTGAGTCCTGACTCCCATTGCTACAGAAGTTTTCCCCACACTTACAGTTACATTAAAAAAAAGGCGTAACCGGATCACTGTTACATCGTTAAAAATGGGGATTACTAGCAGGATTACAATGTTACAATACCTTTTAAGATCAAAATAAAAAGGTCAATATTATAAGTAGATGTACTGCCTAAGTTTTCTTTTTGGTTTTCATTTAGGCTACTTTCATTCTCTTTATTAAACATTCTTTCTTTACCAACAATAGGTGAACAGCTGCTTTATAAAACTAAAATATTGTGTTTGATTTGAATTCATGTGTTAAACTAAAACAGCATTTGTAAACTAAACTATTTTGCAAGACACATTTCTGATCCTAAATATCTTGGTTTCTTCTTTTCTAAGGTCACATAGTTCTGTTGTTTTACATCATACACTAAAGTAAAACCCTTGATTTCTCTTACTTTGCGTGGAATTTTGATATTGAGGTAATCCTAAATCACCGTAAATGAATCCGGTTGGATTACTTTTATATTGTCATAGATGTATCTATCACAATATAAAAGCCACATCGAGAGGGACGCTTATTGTCTATTAATATTAACGGAACATATTTAAAGTTACCCTCCCAACCCTGATGAGCAGATGGCCAACAGTTTACAGAGTCAGAGATCAACAGGAAGTTACTCACCAAGCGATGGTTCTTCCTCATCTCTCCTTTGGTCTGAAACACAGATCATCCGTTAGCTCAGGAGCACAGATATCTCAGTAATATTCTAATGTCAGCGTCTCTACACTTACAGGCTGCAGCTTCCCAGTGAGCAGCAGCAGCAGGGTACTCTTCCCCACACCATTGGGTCCCACTATACAGACTGATGGGAGCAGAAGAAAGGGAAGTGAAGTATCAGCACCCTGAACGCACCACAGCAAGAGGAGACTGGAAGATTAACTCGTCTATGATGGTGAAGATTTAGCTTCTCTGCCATAATCTCCACATTAAGAAAATACTAACCTACTTCCATGTTTAATTATGTTA